AAGAAAGAAAGAAAGAAAGAAAGAAAGAAAGAAAGAAAGAAAGAAAGAAAGAAAGAAAGAAAGAAAGAAAGAAAGAAAGAAAGAACTAACTGTTTCAGCGGCTACTCGGGTCCTAAGATGAAAAAGTCACTGCCCACCAGCTACAGATACCTGAGGCTGACTGGACTGCTGGATGTTCGAGTCAGGGAAGGAAGGGAGGCGGGAGGGATGCTGCCGCGAGCTCTACCTACCTCTGCGCCGCGGTGTTTGCATCCAGGACGCCGGCTCCCTGCATCCATGTCCTGACCGCGTTCATGCCGGCGCCCAGGGGCTCTTCCTTCATGCTGCTCCCACTCCTCTGAATGCTTTCCTGAATCCCAAACATGAATTAAGGACAACCAAAACCTTCTTTTCTTCTTGAAAAAAACAAAAACAAAACAAAAAAGCAAGGAAAAACAAAAATGCAAAACACAGCCACAACGCAGGGTGTTGACAAGAAGAAAAGCGCGGAGCGGATGGGGGTTTTCGTTTCACTGTCCCCTCTTGCTTTTCACCCCCTCCCTCCCCCTTTGCTTTCTTGCTTTCTCTGGAACGGCTGCTGAATCAAAGCAAATCAGAGAAAATCAAAGACAGACATTGAAGGGATTGCGGGGGGCGGGGGAGAGAGAAAGAAGAGGGAGAAAAAAAATCCAAAGGGTTACAAAAATCTCTCCCCGGGGCCGGCTGCGGATGCTCTCGCGGACGCCTTGACGAGCTTGTTCTTTGGAGGGTGGGCGCCAGACCCCGGCTGGCCTCTTCCTCCTCCTCCTCCTCCTCCTCTTTTTCTTGAAAAAAAAATCAGAAGATGTTTTTTCTTCTTCTTCTTCTTCTTCTTCTTCTTGGCTGGCTGGCCGGGGTCGCTCAAGAACTGGCAGGACGTTGCCAGTGGCGTCCCTTCCGTGCTGTGAAGTCTCTCTCCCCCCCCGCGCGCGCCCCGGCACTCTTTCGGATCGCCGAAGAAAGAAGGCAGTTTAAGAAACAATAGGTTTAAGCGGCGCTGCGGCGGCTGTAGCGGCGGCTGTAGCGGCGGCGGCGGCGGCGGCGCCCTTGGCTACATCAAGTGTCATTTTCCAGTGACAAGAAAGCGGCAACTTTGGGAATCTGTTCTCGGCGAGGCTCCTTCTCGTGCGGGCCTTTTTCCCTCCGGCCAAAGACCGGCGCTGGTCCTTTTCTTTCTCTCTCTTGCTCGCTCGCTCACTCGCTCTCTCTCTGGCTTCTCCTCCTCCTCCTCCTCCTCCTCAAACAGTGCAGGAAGCCTTAGCTGGCTGCTGGGGAGCCCGAAAGAGAGAGAGAGAGAGAGAGAGAGACGGGCAGAGGAAGACACGCGGCGCTCGTACGCCGGGAAAGGTAAGCGCACCCCACCCCCGGGTGGACTGAGATCCTCTTGGCTTCCTCCCTCCCTCCCTCCCCGCTCCCCTCCTCCCCGCTTCAATCCGAGCGCTTTGGCAGGCTTTCTCAATGGAATCGACTTCGGCTCTCCCCGCAGCTAAACACACCAGCCCGGCAGCCCCACTGGGCAGGGGGCGGCGCCCTGCGGGCCGGAGCCCGCCCCTGCCCCTCATTTGCATAGCGTCATAACTTCCTCTGGCCGCTGCAGCACGCCCACCAATCGCCGGAGAGGAAAGCCGAGCCGCCGCCGCCGATGGCCGCCCCCCCTATCCCACCCCCCGCCAGGGATACGCCCCCCTGATTAGCATGTCCCGGCCGCTCCGCCCCCTTTTCGCCGGGAAAAGACCGGAGAAAGTTACCGCGGGGCGCTCCGCTCGCCTGCCAGGGAAAACGCGACAGGCGGGAGGGCGGGCAAAAGGATTACGCCGGCCGGAAGGGCAAGCGATGCGGCCTGCCGGGATCGGACCGAGCAGGACCCTCGGCCCACGTGCTAGGAAGGGAGCCGCCCGGAGGCGCCCGGAGCCGCCTTTCAACGGGCGGTTCTCGTTCTTCCTATAGTGGGGGCGGGGGGAGCGAAGGCGGGGAGGTGGAGAGTTTTGCGCGGCAGTTGAGGATCGGGCGCTTTGAGTTCCGCGATCGGAAGGAATCGCAAGAAAAAGGCGAGTGGGAAGTCTTTGGTGGGTGGAAACGAGTGTCCCCGAGGCTCTGAAGAGCCGGGAGGGGTTTGCTGTCCGCGTGGGAAATTCGATCTGCAGGAGCTCTGCCCTGCGTCCTCCAAGATTGTGTAAAGATGATTCAGAATAACAGCAACGGCGATGATAATAGTAATAATAATAATAATCATCATCATCATCATCATCCCAACGAAACACGAAGCCTTTAATTAATGCAAGCGATTCAAGACGCACAGCTGTCGCCCACTAGGCCAGATTTCTTTTGCGGCGGCAGCAGCGAGACAACTTGTCCTTCCCTTCCTGCAGCCGGTGATCTGAACCCGTTTTTTTAGGATCCGGCGATTAATATACTTTATTTTTTTAATTCGCCATCCGAAGAAGTCAGAAAGCACAGATGGGCAACCCCCTCCACGTACATGTATACCCCTTAGAGGGCGTGAACCTGTTTAAAACACCGGGTGGTTTTGTTGGTTAAGGAAACGCAACGTCAACTCGGTACTTCGGAGTTATTGCCACATGGATCTTGCAGTGCTTTTGATTTTAAAAAAATAATAGTAATAATAGTGCTCTCTTTCTTCTTTCCCAACCCACGCGATGCCCAATCTTCATGCGGAAAGTCGCTTTCTGACACGGAGTAGGTCTTTGTCTGAAAGAGATTGCAGAAATAATAATACGAACCATAATAATAAGTTAAAGAAGTGGCAACTGTGACTTCACATTGTTTTGAGCAGAGAAGAAATAATATGTTCTCTCCATCCTCTTTAGCAATAACAGATGACTAAGCGATTAGTCTAATAATTGCCTTTTTTTTCAGTCCAATGCTGAACCTGTTCCTTTTCTCTATTGTAGCAAACTCGAAACTGCGCGACTGGCGCGGGGTGGGTTCTTCCCGCCATAAAAGTATTTCCCCTCAGAAAAAAAAAAATCGATTTTCTGACTAGGGGATCGTCCTTCTGTTTTCCCTAAGCGAAACGATCGAGCTGAAAGATAGAAATGAGAGGGGCTGAATAATCTGTGCCCTATTCTTGCTTGCTTGCTTTCAAAAACGCGGGAAGAAAAACATTCAAATCAATCCACTCCACAATGAATCGACTTGCGAAAATCTTCTCCAGACTCCCTTTCTTTGCCGCAAATTCTCTCGCCTCCCGTAGCAAGTCCCGCGCACCCAGACTGCGCCCCGGTCACACCACTTCACTTCGGGATTCTCGCTTGCCAAAACCAGAATCCCCCGCGCCTTTTTTTGTTGCCGGTTATTTGTCGTGGGGGTCTTATTCACCCCACCCCACCCGTGGGACACGAAACTTTCCTTTTCTTTGTGTTTCCTAAAGAGAAAGAGCGAAAAAGTGCCATCAAACCAGGGGTCCCAAACTTTTGGGCCGCGTAGTCACCCCTCTCAACAAGCTTTTTAATTTCGACGGCTAAATAAAAGTAAATCCATAAACCGGCAGGAAACTCGTCAGAATTGCTTTCTTCTCCTTCCAAGTAAACCTCATTGGGATTGCGTTGTTGGAAGCCCTTTAGCAAACTAGCCAGATGGACGCACTTCAGACTTATTGGGTCGACAGCGCGTATTTGTTTTTAACTCTGATCCTAACATCCAGTAACCAGCACCTGGCGCAAAATGGCACCCTCTTTAATTTTAAGTGGGTGAATTGAACGGAGCTCACATATATTCCGCTGAAAGGACCCCTTTCTCAGCTTTTATTAGTTTTCAATATTGTTTAATGTGGGAGGAGAAACAGGATTACCACCGATAGCCAAAAATCCAAGCCGTCAGAAATCCTCTGGAATCTATTCTAGATCAGTACAACCAAATCTGCTTTTTGGTCTCTCTTGCTCTGTTAATTCTCGTCGCAGAGGAAAAACGGCGCTGCGCGAGAACAAACTATAATAACTGAATTCGGGACAGTTTATATTCTTTATTGTAGGTGTGTAATGCTATAAAACTCTAGGTAGATATTTAATGCTGAAAGAAAAAGGTGATCAAGGGAGAAGCACAAGCCGCACTGTATTGTAACTTTAAAAGAAAGTTAATTGAGATATTATTGCCCTCTTAAAGTAGATCCTCTTGAATCTAAACTCTTCAACAAAACACAAAATTGTTCACAAAACAAATAAGGAACTACTCAGGTACGATTGTACTGATTTCAAGGGAACTGTATTAACTATGAGTACTGTTCAACATGTGTTTCTGTTTGCATATATATTTAAGAACATAATGTCCACACAGCTTTACATTTAAAGTTAAAGATCTCTAAGCAGAAGCCTTCAGACTGATTCCTGTGATTTTTGCTTATACGAGATGAACGTCTGTAAATGTCAGCAAAAGATCTGGAGTAGAAGCACCATTGGGGCACATTGGAGATCATGGTTATCTATTAGATAATACCTTGCTGATGTCATAAGATGTGTATGGATTGTATTTTATCCAGCAAATGTGTATGATCTCTTTTGCAAATTTTGAACATTTAGTATGCACTACCTAGTTCCCATAATAGCAGACTGTGATTAACCCCTTGGGTCTCTGCACATTCTCTAGTTAACTCAAATTAATCACAACACATGGAGAGCTTATTTCTCCAACAAGGTAGCAGGGTTCAAATTTTCCTGTAATAGCTTATGTCAAGCTGTTAACAGATTGCATTTAGTTGAGCTCTACTTTTGATGACTTCACGGACACATTTTCATGTCCTTTTTTTTGACAATATTGTGGAAGTGGAGCATCACTACCTTTTTACAGGCTGTTTCTAGCCCAGAGATTCTCTCATTCAAATACTTAACCAGATCCAGCCTGCTCAGCATTTCAAAATTTGTCAAGATCATTCAGGTGTTGCTCTTAATCATTTCTGAACTGCATGATCGCAGAGACTCGATTGGGAAGGAAAAGCACTCCAGGATTATTTTAAGGCACTGACCCTGTCTCCTAAATAAAGCTAATGCACAGTTGCTTGCCAAAAAAAAAAAAAAAAACCCTTTCCACTTTTCCTTTGTAAATATTCCTCAAGTGCTTTCTGAATACTTGGAAAGTTGGAAGTTAGCATCCAATTTTTAAAGCTTTTTTTTAAATTAGAAATCCAATGGTTACTTCATTCCAGCCAGATGTTATTTGAACTGTCCACATAGGGCATGCAATGGTAGTTGGTACTTGATCGTACTGATGTAACCTTGCAGAAAATTCATCTGTCAAAATAATGCATTCCATGACATCTGTTAGGAAAAATACCAGAAGATTCTGAGAAATGTGCCCCTGCAGTTCATACGGTATAAGACTTAATCTTTCTGCAGGGTGTAAATGTTGCATTGTAAGATTACTTCTGGTGGGCTGAATAGTTATTTTTACTGCTGCTCTTTTTTATTGAAGCTTCATCCCCATCCTCTATTGGTCTAGAAAGATTGCAGGGTTCCAAGAAAGGAAACTTGAAAACTGTAATAGTGGAAGCCACTGGATAATTATTCAAAGTCTTGCATGGGGAAAACAGCTGGTGGGAGTACTATACAGTATATCAAATCTGGTATTGATATGTAAAGACATTCTAAAATCTGGAAGCATTGGATGGAAAACATCTCTTGCCATATTATAGTTGAGATTTGCTCAGCATCAATCTCCAATCAATAGCTTTGGGGAAACAGTGACTCTCAAGTAGAGCTTGCCAAAAGCAAAATGATAGGGAGGTCCAAGGATCTTAAAATATTCCCCTTGCAAGTGAAAAACAAATCCATTCAAGCTGACCACCTGTATTTTATCTTACTTTCTCCTCTTCAAGCTCATTCAAAAATGCAGTGTTTCTCGTCTCATAGGTGAAACTCTGGAATAGTTGGTAGGTTTTGATTATTTGAAAGTTTTTAGTCCAGCTCCACTCTTTAGATGTTACTATTACTTTCTCTTGAAATGAGAAAGGCCAAAGCAAGCCTAGATGAACCCTGGATGAAATACATATTCTCACATGGAAATCTAATGTGCATACTGTATTGTTCATCCTCTGCTACAGCCCCATGAAATCTTTCCCTCCCACCATATTTAATATGATCATTTTCAGCCTTAGCGTTTCAATTCTGAGCTACAGTCGACAATGGAAAGCAATTTGCACCTTTCCCAGTGGTTTGTTTTCCCAGGGCTCCACAGATGCCTGCAGAAGGAGCAAGC